TCTGAGCTTTTCTGCTCAAGGCTGGCATACTACCATTTGAGCTATAACTCCATTTCTGGCTTTTGGGTGGTTATTTAAAGATAAGAGTCTCATAGACCTTTCTACGCAGGATAGCTTCAAACCTCAGTCCTCAGACCTCAGCCTCCTGCATACATAGTAAGATTATAAGTGTGAGCCACCAGTGCCACATTTCACTACTGAGGATGCTAGAACTTAAGGGGTTAAAGAGATATCAAAGTTCGTACAGCTAAAATTTTAATTGAAGCATCTCCTATTACTCATGTCATAAAAGGTACTAAACAAAGGCCTTGTTAGAAGGTCAGCTGGGCATGGGAGAGGCTCAGTAAAAAGAGGTGAAGCAACCAGAGCTTCATGAGAGGTCTTCTAGGGACTGGAATGCCTTTGAGAAGGGGAGCGGGCCCACCAGGTGAAGTGGCAGTACCACAGGCCTAGGAACAAGCACACTGCCTACACAGAAGCAAAAACTCTTCCTTCTAAGTATTTACCCATAAGAAACCAAGCTGCCTCTGGTCAGCATGTCTGTACTCAAATCTAGGTGTCAGGAGGCAGGAAAGAACAACTGAAAGCAAGTCCCAACTCCAGCAGCCAGGGTTCAGGTCCTGAACACCTCAACAATCTTCATGCCTAAGTCTCATCATCCACAACTGGGATGACAAGAGCAGAACAGCCACTTACTACATGATGCTACTGTGGCTACTGTTTTAAAGACTCTTGTCCATCCAAAGCATGCTTCCAAATCATGGTGTACAGGATAGTTTGCCCACTCACCAAGAGCAAACTGCTTCAATCAAGTTGATTATACACATATATAATAACAATAAGCAAAAGGCCAATGGTGTCTAAGAACTTAAAAACCAAATGCTCTCACAGGATTCATAGTCATAAGAAGAAAGGTTACTTAAATCAGTTGTCAAAAGCAACTCTTTTTCCACAAAAAGTACACACACATTTATTGTTTGATATAAACAATTGTGGACATTCTCCCCAACTAAGAGATAGGTCTAGGTATCATTTGGTAAAGACATAAACTATGCAATATCACTTAACAATTTGTTATAATATTTCAGATCAGTTTTACTACTAAAAAACAATCCATTCTAAAATGTAAACTATATGTAACTCATATATATGTAATTATAGTTTGAGGTGACAGTTCTACTATACTTCTGTTAATCAGCAATTATGAGAGCTAACATTTTTTTAAATTTTTTTTATTTTTTAGCCAGTACCAGAGCGTGAACTGAGGGTCTAAGTGCTGTATCTTAGCTTTTTCCCTCAAGGCAGGCTACTCTAACATTTGAGCCACAGATCTACTTCTGTTTTTTTGGTAGTTAATTGTAGATAAGACTTGGCTGCAGGATTTAAACTGGGATCTCAGATCTCAGCCTCCAGAATAGCTAGGATTACAGATTAGAGACAGTGGTTAGGCAGTGCTCAAAGACTGAGGTGCTACTATTTATAATTATCATATTCTCAATCTTTTGAGGGAGATAATAGATCCTTTCAGCCTGGAGCTGGTGCTCATGCCTATAATCCTAGCTACTATGCAGGCTGAGATCTGAGGATCTTGGTTTAAAGCCAGCCCCGGCAGGAAAGTCCATGAGACTCTTATTTCCAATAAACCACTCAGAAAACCAGAACTGGTGCTGTGGCTCAAGCAGTAGAGCACTTGCCTTGAGCTGAAGAGCCCAGGGACAGTGACCAAGCCCAGAGTTCAAGGCCCACGAAGACAAGAAAGAAAGAAAGAAAGAAAGAAAGAAAGAAAGAAAGGAAGGAAGGAAGGAAGGAAGGAAGGAAGGAAGGAAGGAAGGAAGGAAGGAAGGGAAAAATAGATCCTTTCAGAGAAAATTCTCAGCTTTGAGGTTGACTATTATGAATGGTTCAGATAGATGATTTATTGTTAGCACCAGTGTGGATTTGTTTTTTTTTTAAACACTAAAACAATATAGACAGATAAGTCTTAAATTTTACTATGCATGTGGATCATCTGGAGAATCTTGTTAAAATCCAAATTATGTCCCAAAGATCCTGGACTGAAGCCACTGAAGCTCTCTCAGACAGGGCAATAGCTGCTGGTATATTGGATGCAGCAGGGACAACAAACATGTACAGGTTGCAATAGGCCACACACTACCAAAACAAATGTCTATAAAACTAAACCTTGGGACACTTGGCTACTTAGGAGAATCAGGATTCAAGGGCAGCCTCAGCAAAAAGGCCCCATTTCAAACAATTAAAAAAAAACAACTAGGTGTAGTTGTATGCACCTGTCACCTCAGCTATACTGAAAGTATAAATAGGACAATCAAAGTCCAGCCCAACTCCAGTAAAAAGTAAGACCCTATCTGAAAAATAAAGCAAAAATGGCTGGGTGTGTCACTCAAGCAGAAGAGCTCCAAACAAGTTCAAGGCCCTGACTTCAAATGCAATACCACCAAAAAATATAGCCAAGCATTGGTGTGGCTCATGTCTGTAATCCTAGCTACTCAGGAAGCTGAGATCTGAGAATCACAGTTTGAAGCCAGCCCAGGAAGAAAAGTCCATTAGATCTCATCTCCAATAAGCTACTCAGAAAAAGTCAGAAGTAGTTCTATGGCTCAAGTGGTAGAGCCCTAGCCTTGAGCACGAAGAGGCTCAGGGACAGCATTCTGGAGCTGAGTTCAAGCCCTAGAGCTGGAGAAAGACAGACAGACAGACAGAACCTTTTTTTTTTTGGCCAGTCCTGGAGCCTGAACTCAGAATCTAGGCACTGTCCCTAGATTCTTTTGCTCAAGGTTGGCACTCTACCGCCTGAACCACAGTGTCACTTCTGTCTTTTTCTGTTTATGTGGTACTGAGGAATAGAACCCAGGGCTTCCTGCATGCTAGGCAAGCACTCTATCACTAAGCCACACATCCAGTCCAAGATTAACCTTTCAAAAGTCAACTTTAATGGAAAAATAAGTTGTTTGATGTGTTTTTGAGCTTTGTAACCCCCTAGAACTATCTTCTTGATGACATATTTCCCAGTTTAAGTTTAGAGTCCACTTTCTTCAAATTTTTATATTTGGAGGTAGAGAGCATTCCTCCTGAAAACCTTGATTTTTTTTTTTAAATCAAGGTTGCCACACCCTTCAGTTGAGTCCTTTACCTCACTTGCCCAAGGGTGTATAATCTCTCAATATTAATCTAGAGATTAGATAAATAGCAGGTAAGAAAGATTTAATAGGCTGGCCTCAAAAGCAGTTAGGAGAGATTTTATAGACTGGCCTTTTCTCCCACATGAAAAGTGAAGCTCTAAACATAGTAGTAGCTTTGCAAAAGGTAAATAATACCACTGCCTCCAGCCCTGACCACACACTGGTGAAAAAAAGTTCTAGCAATGAGCTGACAACATTTTGTACAAATTACCAGATTTCAATTTTTTCATTTTTTATTTTACTTTTTGAATTAGCCTATGCTTTGGATTTCAATTCTTTTACCTGATCTTTTGAATGGCAAGTCTGAGTTCACCAGCAGTTCTATTCCCTTTCCAAAGCCCACAGAGTAAAGCAAGACATGTGTCTGACAAGTCCTTACACTCCACTTAGGTCCAAGTTCAGTCCTGCCCTTATTCATTTCTGATTATCTGTATACTGCCTAGCTATCTCCCTTAAAATGTGATTACAAACTCCATTTCCCATACACACCTCCTCCATTCTTGCTAACAGCAATGCCTAACCAAAGAACTAACACATCTTTGAGAACGTTCCATTTTACTGGATTATGGTCAGTTCAAGATTCTAAAGACAGGTAACCTGTTCCATTTATCATTACTTAAAGCCCTTCAAAAAATACCCTCCACCAACCAGCAGAACAAGCTTTCCATCCAAAAGATAAAAACACAGTGCTTCCACGATGTACAAACATTGGGACCTTTATTTAAAGGGTGGCCATGCACAGTATTATTCCCAAGAAAATGGTTATATAGGCACTCAAATAAGCACAATGGGAGAACGCTTCACGAGATAGAATGCACATATCTGATTGCAGGTCCCTGCAAATGGCTTCCCTGGCTGCTGAAGAAGTCTATAAAGTTTTCAGGCTGGGCCTGGGAGAAAGGCCTACCTGCAATTGGAAATGTTGGAAACACTCAGGTTTTTCTGACCTGGGGCATGCCTTGTCCACAACAGTGCTAAGCTACGGCTCCAAGAGGAAATAAGGACTGATAGGACTCCGGCCTTCAACATCCCTGAGGCCAAAAACTCCTCTGAGAACTGAGCTTTATTATAGACAAGCCCCACAGAGGGTTTCCTATTTCTGGTACCTCCAAAACTGGCCACCCTCCCGGAGTGACTTAACTCTGAGTACCAATCGGGCAGTGCCAGCCAGCCACCGCGCTGGGGTGAAGGACTTTGGGATGCTGGTGGACTCGGCAGAATAAGCTGGACCCTTTGTGGGCAATCTGGATTCTCCCAGAGCATCTGAGTTACACGCCTCCATCCAACGCATACTTATTCAAAGTCCACCATATGCCCGGGCACCCTGCTAAGCTTCCAGGGAGGGAAACCAAGCCACAGCCCCCCCAGCCTCTGCAAAGACAGACAAGGGCCATCTGCGGGGTGGAGCGGGCTCCAGTGAAGCAGCCACAAGTTGCTGAGCCCAGGAGCGGCCCCGGAAACAGCACGACCCCTGCCTGTGTCCGAGCCCTGCCTGTGTCCGCTGCGCACGCCCGCCAAGCCAGGTGAAGAACGCGGGAGAGGGCAGGTAGGCCCGGGGGCAGGTGTGCAGGTCGGGGGCACACCTGAGGCGGCAGAGCGGGAAAGGGTGGGGTCCCCAGAGACGCGAGAAAGGCCGGAGACCCGGGAGGAGAGGGGGACGGGCACGGGGGGGGGGGGGGGGAGGGATGCGGAGGCCGGCGGGGCCCGCGCCCCGGGGCGAGAGGGCGCGGGTGCGCGGCGGGAGGGCGCGGGCTAGGCCGCCCGCCCGCCCGCACCTGGGCCCCCCCTTCCGGCACCTACCACTTGGGCGACCTTGAGGCGGCCGAGCGCGCCGCGCAGGTAGTCGGGGTCGCAGCGCAGGCCGGCCAGCCCTCGGCGCTGGTTCACCGGCTCGGTGGTGGGCTGGTACGGGCTGCTGGCGCCCGAGATCATGGAGGTGCTCGAGGCCTCGCCCTCGAAGCCGTCCAGCTCCTCGCCGCTCCGCATGCTGCCGCCCGGCCCGGGCCGCCTCGCGCGCTCACGCCCGGCCCCCCCGGCGCCAGGAGCGGGCGGGCTCAGCGGGGCCGCCGCATCGCCGCCGCCGCCTGACTGCCCGCCGCGGCCCGCCCCGCCGCTGCCTCAGCGCCCTCTGCACAGCGGCCCCGGCTCGGTCCGCCCGGGCTCGGCTCCCGCCGCCTCGGCAGCGGAAAGGAAGGGGGGCGGGAGCGGGCGCCGAGGGAAGGAGGCGGGAGCCGCGCGCCGGCCCGGAGGGGGCGGAGCGAGAACCGCCAGCCGGCCGCTCGGCGGCGCTCCGCGGCCCCGCGAGGGGAGGGGCGTGGTCTGGGCGTGGTTACGCGCGCCGCGCCCCGCCCCGCCCTTGCTTAAGTCCCGCCCTCTACTCGCCTTCACCTGCGCCTGGCTGCGCTACTGGTGGGCGTCAGCGGTCCGGGCTGGAAAAGGCAAGGTCCGGAAAGTCTGAACACCTTCAGACCCGAAGACAGAGGCTTGAGGAAATGTTGAAGGGGTCTGGGGAGGCATGGCGTTGCTCTCCCCCTCCCCGATGGCTCTGCCTCAGTTTCTCTTTGGTAGGATGGGGTGGATCCAGGTCGCCTGGGCCACCCCCGTGCAGAGCCCAGCCTGGGCGTGTGTGACTCCTCTTCTGCGGTAAGTTGGTTCTGCGGCCCAGAGAGCAGCGGCCAGCAGAGAAGCCCAGGCTCCCAGTCTGCAGGATCCACACAAGTATCTGGGGAAGCTCTGGACCCCTTGGCCTGTTCAAGCAGGGATTCGAGCTCAGACTAAAGCCAGTGTCTGCTCCCTGTTGCAAAGGGTTTTAGTACCTCTGCCTCTGCCTAAGCATCAAGCCCGGTGAAACTTGGATTTTGCCCTGAAGGCATTAATTAGGGACAAATTTGCAATTCAAGTGTGAAGGCTAATTTTAAGCTTAAATAAAACACTAACTTTCTAAGAATTGTTGCTTTGATTTCAAACTGTTCCACACCAGAAATATAGACAACCTCATTCTCTATGGTACCCCGCTCTGACAGCGGGGCATTATTGCTGCTGTTTTGCATGAGAGGACCCTACAGCCCCCACAGGAAAGTGGCTTGTCCAGACACACACACACACACACACACACACACACACACAAACTATTTTTCAAAGATGGAAGAGCAGTGACTTTATTTGATCAACTACATATTTATTGGGCTTCTACCATAAGTCAGGAAATATGCTAAGAATTGAAGAATGTCACTTTAAGGTGACAGGTTGAATGGTTGGACATAAGCTCTGATTTCTGTTTTCTCCAAAAATTCCAGTGAAATGACAGCTATAGGGATTGGGGGGTGGGGTGGTTGTGGGGCTTGAACTCAGGATCTGGGCACTGTCCCTGTGCTCTTTTGCTCAAGGCTAGTGCTCCATTTTGAGCTACAGCTCCACTCCCTTTAGGGATTTTTTTTTTTAAGATATAAAACAACAGAGACAAAGAATGGGAAAGGAGACAATCACAACAAAATATTAGAAGCTGGGAAGCACTGGGTAATTCATGTAATATATCCAAGAAAGCTAAACCTTAAACTGGCAATGAAAAAGGCTGAAATGTACTCTGTTTGTATCTCAGAACAAAAGGCTCAGAAATGGGTGACAGATGGGTGGGGAATGTGGCTTAGTGGTAGAGTGCTTGCTTAACATGCATGAATCCCTGGGTTCAATTCCCCAGTACCATATAAACAAAAAATGCCAGAAGTGGTGCTGCGGCTCAAGTGGCAGAGTGCTAACCCTGAGCAAAAGAAGCTCAAGGATAGTGCCAAGGCTCTGAGTTCAAGCCCCAGACTGGCAAAAAGAAAGAAAAAAGAAAGAGAGAAAGAGAGAGAGAGAGACAGAGGGGGGGGAAGAGAGAGGGAGGGAGGGAGGGGGGAGGGAGGAAAAGGAAGAAAGAAAGAAAGAAATGGGTGGCACCCCATGGTACTAGTGGCTCATGCCTGTAATCCTAATACTCAGGAGGCTTGAGACCCGGAGGATCACAGTTGGAAGCCAGCCCACGCAGGAAATAGTCCATGAGACTCTTATTTACAATTACCCAGCAAAAAGCCAGAAGTGGAGCTGTGGCTCAGGTGGAAGAGTGCTAGCCTTGAGGGGAGAAAACAAAGTGACAGAGCCCAGGCCCTGAGTTCAAGCCTCAGCACCAGTACAAAAAGTTTTTTTTTCTTTTTTTTTTTTTTTCTTTTCTTTTCTTTTTTTTTTTTGGTCCGGTTGTGGGGCCTGAACTCTGGGTCTGGACGCTGTCCCTCAGCTCTTCAACTCAAGGCTAGCGCTCTACCACTTGAGCCACAGCACCACTTCCGGCTTTTTTCTTTTTGCTTATGTGGTGCTAGGAATCGAACCCAGGGCCTCATGCATGCAAGGCAAGCACTCTACCACTGAGCCACTTTCCCAGCCCAAAGTTTTGTTTTTTTTTGAGGGGGGAGGGTCCAGTCGTGGAGCCTGAACTCTGGGCCTGGGCAGGACCCCCCCAAAAAAAGTTTAAGACCTAAGTTCAAGACTGGGAACTGGCAAGCACCTGTGCGCTCTCTCTCTCTCTCTCTCTCTTTCTCTCGCTCGCGCTCTCTCGCTCTGTCTCTGTCTGTCTCTTTCTGTCTCTGTCTCTCTCTATGTCTCTGTCTCTCTGTCTGTCTCTGTCTCTCTCTCTCTCACATACACACACACAGAATCTCAGGAGTCAGTGGTAAGCAAGGCAGACACAATCTCTGTCAGCAGAGACAGCACAGAAAGCAAGTATGGAAACTCCTTGAAACTGCTTTAGCAATGAGTGCAGAGAAGGTACTGAATGCTGCTGGATGAAGGAGGATGTTCGTGATGATATATGAATTGCCACTAAAAGATTTAATTGAATCTATGGATAAGAATTCCAGATGAGATCTGAAATATGAATGGCAGGATGGTGAGAGTTGTGGAATGTTGGACATATATTCTGGACAGAGGGAATGATGTGCAGAAGCCCAAAGGCAAACACAGCAAAACCCACTGAAGAGACTCAAGTGCAGAATTCTGGGCTGAAAGTCAGCCCGGGCCATGTTGGGCTGACTCTTGGGTTGTGAGTTCCAAACGGAAGAGGGTTTAGCACTAGATCAGCCCCGGGAGGCCTGCCTTGTGAGCCGCTCCCCCTGGCTTCTGTGCAGGCGATGGATGGAGCAGAAGCCAGATTGGAAGCTCCCCTCTAGTACTTATTAACTGTTCTCTCTCTTCCTGGCCACTTGCCTACATTTATTTTTAGGTCCAGAGACAGACTCAAATTTTTCTCTTCTGCATTTTAACGGAAGTTCACAGACTTCCAAAAAGTGTTGTTGGGGATCCCACATAGATCCTTAAATAGACAAAACCTGGCATCATGGTCCCTTCCTTGGCATTGAATTGTAATACATCTCTGATGATAACTGTACCTCCAGGTGTCTGAATGCTAAAAACAAAGCAAAGCCAATAAGTGATAGAGAAGAAGGCAGTGCTTAGACAGGCCCCATTCCAGGATCTGGTCCTCATGTCCAGGACTGACTCCTAGCATACTGATGTAAAAGCCAGATGCAACTTGATTCACCATGGCCAAAGGAGAGATGGCTAGAAGGAACCATCTTATCTGGAACCCTGGACATATACTGGATGAATGTGTTGTTCAGCTCAGTCAGATGGTGTGGAAGGATATTTGGAGCCTGCAGACAGGCTTGCCCACCAGGATCACTCTCAGGACCCCTGTCTTTCTCAGAGACTAAGATTTGAGAATTGTAGTTCAGACATAGCTGGGGCAGGAAAGTGTAAGACTCTTATTTCCAATTAACCATGAAAAGCTCAAAGTAGGGCTGTGGTTCAAATGGTAGAGCACCAACCTTGAGCAGAAAAAGCTAAAGGACAGTGCCCAGTCCTGGAGTTCAAGCCCTAGTACCAGCATGCACACACACACACACACACACACACACACACACATATGCGTGCAAGCATGTACACATGCAAATAATAATAATAATAATGGAACATCAGAACTGAAAAATACATTGAGACTTAGTAATAAACAAACTAGAGTGGCACCCTTTTGTATTGTAATACCAACTTCATGGGAGGCAAAGATTGGGAGAATTGAAGTTCAAAGCCAATCCAAGCAAAGAGCAAACCCTATATCAACAAACAAGCCAGGTGTGAGAGAGAAAGATTATGGTCCAACCTGGACGAGAAATTTGAGACTCTATTTGAAAATAACCTAAAGCCAAAAAATGGACTGAAGTGTGGCTGAAGTGGTAAAGTGCCTCCTACCATGCTCAAGGCCCAGAGTTCATGTACCACTGCTGCCAAAATAAATAAACTCAGTAATGAGCAAGGACCCTGAGAGACTTCTGTCTCCAACAACAACAAAAAAATACAGTGGTGACAAGAGGTTTCAAGCATACAGTACATAATAGGAAGACTGATTAAGTTTGTCATGAACAGTCATCAACATAAAGCATGAACCAGACACGCAGGGAAATTGATATTTAACATTTCAAGATTAACAAGTTGGCTGGAAATGAGTCTGCTTCCAGAAGACTTCTTTTTAAAGAATGGTACGAGTGTAACATCCTTGTGTCTGACAGATTAAACTCAGAGATGTAAGCATAAACAACCCCTTCCTTTCTGTTTGAAAGGAGCCAATGTCCATGTCTCTGGGTTCTGTGCCAGTGTTAGACTCCTCCAGCACTATTCCCACGTGCCTAGGGGCAGTGCCAGGGTAGGGCAAATTCCAGGCTGGACTGGTTGCAGGGTTAGCATCAACTGCTGCTTCTGCAATAACTTGTTCCTTCAGGCAGAAAAAAAATGCTTCCCAAGTCTCTAAAAATAGTGCTTGCTGGGATTTTCCAGTTTTGACATTCCTTCAGCTCCTATAATCCAAGGACTGTGGTAACCAGCCCATCCTGTGCCCCTCATCAGAGCCTCCAGTGGCATCCCACTTTGTGTGGGGCCCACTGTTTGGTTTCTGGTGCCTCTGGTATAGGGGCTTGTGTGGGTGTGTAATTATAGAATCATGGATTTCTCTGCCCCTCTACAAAGTAGAGGCAGTACC